GGCGGCTTTTGGAGGGTTTCTTGCAACTCTTCATCATATTTTGGCACCTATTCGTGGAGTATTGATTCAAATCTATAAATAGGTGATGGAGGGATCAATACATGATGTCGAATTTATGTTACAAATATATGATAGACATTTTTCATTCCATATGAAAGTTAAATACTTTCTTCTTCCATATTCATTTTTTCCTCATTGTGTTCTTGAAGTTTTGGAGAAAAACACACGTGCTTAAGTGTTTGATTCTCTACAAGGCTTGATTAATCCTACAAATCGTTTGTCGCGAGATCCTTTAAGCACTAAAATTTTTACCGAGAGGGGGGAAATATTGTTTGAGGACAATGATATAATTTCGTGTTTGAACCTTTCATATTCGATTTGTTCTTCACGTTTATTTCATCTTCTTGATATCACCTCTATGTCATTTCTTCTCCAACCCCGGTGGTGATAATTTTCCCAACTCTATTTTCACTCACCATTTTTATAAATTAACCCAACTTTAAATTTATCGCTATTAAAATTTTAAAATTTTAAAAAAATATTATATTCATCTACATTATACGCCCTATACCTTAAAAGCTTAACACACATTCAATGGTTGTGAGCTTCCTGTAAAATTTCAGATCTTTAAGTAACAAAATTAGGCATTTTCACAACTCATCCGGGAATTATCCTTTTAAATTTATGATTTTTTAAAATTTTTTATTTTTTATTTTTTGGGTGGGGTGTGCAACTAGTAATGTCATCACATTTGCTGGTTATGTTAGAATACGTCGAGCCTAAACATATTATTCATTTGTCCTTTGGCTGCAGATCTACCATTGAATCTTCAGGTTTATATTGGGAAAAAACATTATTCGAAGATGTATATGGAATTCCATATTTTTATTAGATCAAACTAATATTCCTATGATACAAAGAATTTGAGGGATTGTTTTCAAAGAGACATGGACCCAAAGGCATGAGATCATGTTCCCTCTCACACCGAGGATGAACCACTATAAATGTCAGTGCTTTATTTGTTTAGTTAATGTTACTATTCTTTCACGTGGGATTAGGACTTTAATAAACAGCGATTAACATAAGAGACTGTCTCACATTGAATTTAATTGAAATGGTAGCTGAATCGTTAAAACTTATAGATGTTCATATATAGAATAATAAATTATTCAATTTCTTATTTGGAATCTACTCATAAAATAGAGCTAATTGTTCCAGTGGTTTCTGAACTTAGGTCTATATCTTTGATTGATCATTGAAATTTAAAATGTCGAGTTTTGGTCACTGAACTTAAATCCATGTCTTCGATTGCTCATCGAAATTTAAAATTTTGAGTTTTGGCCATTGAATTTTGAAAAATGTTGTACATTACTCATTGTAAATTCGATATTTTTCAAAGTTTAGCAGTTATACTAGAATATATAGTAATACTTTGGTTAATGATGTATGCTTTACTGGCAATCGAAAAATCCAGGATATGTCGGCTATGGCTTTGCTAACAGTTTGCTAATCCACCAGTAAGTATACGACGAAAACTTCCTCATTTTTTTTTTTTTTTTTTGGGTGTACGAGGAAAATTTACAACCCCTATTTGGGTTAAATCTTATCACCTCTCAGATTAGTCCAATTCTTCCTTCCTGCAATATCGTAGAATCATTTTAATACTCAATACAAATTTTAACACCACTGTTAAAGTATAATTTATCATTTTTTATGAGATACGGTTAAAATTAATAATGAATAAGTGACAAAAATCGATTACCATTACTTTTACAGTTTTACTTTTGTTTATGTTTTTGTTATTTTCCTTCCACAAAATCCTAGATCCAGAGGTCGAAAGTATCTTTCAAGGAGGAAATAATGAAGAAATTGTCACATCCATTTCATTTCGTAAATAAATCAAACTCACCATAGAATTATTTCCTTAAAAATAATCTACAGTAAAATCTCAATACAAGACAGAATATGAACATGGGCAATATATGTTTTTCGAATCCTGTTCATGAGTGTAGAACTGTTAAAACTCAAGGAAAAATGAAAAAAAATAAAAATAAAATAATAAAATAAAATAAAAAGCCTATAAACATGAAATACATCAAAACAAGCTAAAAGCATGCACACCCAGAATTAATCACAAAAAAATGAAACAATCCAAAGCTATAAGAGGATTGTTAATGTCCTCCATGGCAAAATCCCTGTCCATTCCTTGATTGCATTGAACTTCTCCTGTGGAAATATCATCAATTTTTGCATTTACCTGTCGGTTAATAACATCCCTTTTGCTCATTATTGCTGTATTTCGCCTGTTTAAATCATGACTTGGACTAGCAGTTTGAGGACGGGAATTTTCTCTTTTCCTACCAGATGAGGAAGAAATATTTGTATTCGCCCTCGAAATTGTAGATGAATTCCTGCAAGAACCCTTTTTTGATGCATTTGTTGGACTGGTCCTGGACAAGTTATCCCCACTAAATCTTCTGCTTGGAGAGGGTGACCTCATTAGTCCTCTATTAGAGTTTGAAATTGCAGAATTCTGCTCTTTTCGGAAGCTTTTTTGTCGAATTATGGTTGGGGAAGAAGCCCGGGCTCTTTTCTTGGGTGTTTCTTCTTGAACCATCTCGTCTGAAAAATTTCCTTGGACGATGGATTTTTTTAGTACTGGTTCCACAACCGGTTTTACCGAGTGCTCAAAATTATTCCGAGGCTGAATTCTTGAATACACTGCAGAGTTTTCGAGATTTTTCTTGGTTTGATTTAGGCGAACTACATGTGGATTCTCCTTCACACAAGACCACAAGAACTCATTCGAATAACACCTGTCCTTCGTGCACAAGGCCGTAGAAGAAGAAGTAGAAGTAGTAGATAACGATGATGCCATAGAACATCCATTGCTCGGGCCACCATTCGAGCAAGAAAACGACGAAAAAGAAACTGAGGAAACAGAAGATGGGGCTGGTGAAACAGGTCTATCATTTATTTGAGGATTAATGACAGAAACTTGAGCTTGTGAAATAACAAGTTTATCATGAACTAGGTTGAGATCTTCTTCGAATTTTTTCTTTGATCTACATTTGCTAATGCAAGAACCCATTTGATTTGGGATTTAAATTTGAAACAGAATGAAAACTTAGAAGAAGAAGAAGAAGACGACGACCATATAATTTATGAAGCGTTAAGCTCCAAAATATCTTTATATATTATATAGTATGCAACAAATATAATTGTTAAAAGGGTAAGAGAAAAAGTATATTTAGTGGCTTTTACTTTTTCTCCCTCTTTCAGAATTTTGAACTTTGTTGCCGGGTAACATTAATCCGTTGGATAACGGTTATATAGAGTATTCTATGATGTTTTCTTTCACTTTTCTAGCCTTTTGGAAGCTTTTACACTTGGTAGGTCGTTTCAAATTAAATTGATTTTCATCTTTATATGTCTTTAAGATTGAAAATTAAAAAATTTTAAAAAAATATTGCCTTTCATCTTGTCTGAACTAAACTACTCTAATATGATATTAAAATCTCATTGACCAACAAGAAAAAAAAAAAAAAAAAGAAAAAAAGAAAATCGGAAAAGGCATTTTTTTAAACTCAAGCAAATTCAACACCAATTCAATCACTATAGCCATCTACAAATTGATATAGATGGAAGCAAGAAACAAAGGACACCTTTAAAGATCAGCTAATTCTATGAATGCCCTTCAATTTTGTAATAAAAATTCCTTAATTCAAGAGTGTATACCGAACAATTGACATAAAATTGATAAATTCTCTCACCAATATTTAGTTCAATTCAAAGTAAAAGGCTTGTAATGATAAAGTTAACCCAGTTAAATACAAAGAGTCTAATGTGCTTAAGAACACATGCTTAAAGGAAATAAAAACCAATAGGGGAATTAAAGAAAAATTAAGGAAATAAAATTCAAATAATGGAATGAATGGTTTGCATGTTATCAGCTACGGGATTGAGATAATCTGTCTGCATATTTTCAGACATTGAATTGATAGGAATAATTGAGGGAAATTAGCTGTATTCATCATCATCACAAACCTTCAAGAAAGAAATAAAAAATCAAGCCTTAGATTATGTAGATTATTCCAAATCTTAATATGACATCAGAGTCGATTATGCTTCACAAGAATTCCAAAATTGATCTGTTTAATTAAGTCACCATCTTGCAGCGCATAGTAAGAGCTAAATTTCACATCGGTTAAATACTGAATATAGATTAACATGTAACGATTTTGTTAGGAAAATATTGTAATTGGCAATCTGTGACCAAAAGAACTAATTTGTCGAGTTTGTAAAGTCAAGGACCAATTTGTCAATGTCTAAAAGTTCAGGGACTTGTGTTTCAATTTTGCAATAATTAATGTATAGGTCTAGGGTAAAGTTGGATGCTTTGAAGATGAAAACGGCGCAAGATTGGTGCTAGAGTTTCGCCCTGACCTCGCTCGAGCCTAAATAACAGAACCTGCGTCGTTGGAGGTTCGCCACCACTTCGCTCGAGCGAGAGTGCGTCGCTGGAGTTTCGCCGACACTTCGCTCGAGCGACAGTGTCATCCGGCGTTTGGTAATTTTCCTTCCTCGCGAATTTTAAACGCTCCATACTACCAGAAACGACCTACTATATAAACAAAAGTTTCGCTTTTCATTAATAACCTTTGGCAAAACACATAGCACAATATTTTCCTCTCTACCAAAGGATCAATTGCAAAACTCTTCACCACATGATTCATTGAAAAAAAAAACATCAAACACATTTTCAAATAAAACATCTATCAAAAATCCTCACTACTTCCAGAAGATTAGTTGATTGAAGATTCGGGAAGGAGGTTGATTGAAGAACTGGAGTTCTTGTTTATTCACGAGAAATAGAAGAAATACACGGCTGGGATTTTGGCGCAGATCTGCAGAATCCAGGAGAGCTTTGGTTGATACAGTAAGGAGGTCAGAGTGTTGTTAGATACAGTCATGTTTGGCGTACTGTAAGTTGGAGTCTTTTATAGTGAATCCCTACTGGCTTGTGCCCAGAGTTTTTACCCAGTTGGGTTTTCTCCATCAACAATTTTTGTGTTATTTATTGCTTTCTGTCAATTTCAATTCAACATAGGTAGTTAAATCATGTGAATGAATCTGGACAACGTTTAATTTATGTGACTTGTTGCATAACTTCATTAAATTGTTAAATTCCGCATAGACAACTATTCACCCCCCCTCTAGGTGTTGGTTGGGTCTAACTATAGCCTTTTCAAGTGGTATCAGAGCCAAATCTCGAGTCCTGACCCATAGTTGTCTAGATGAGTCAATCACTTTCTGTACCTCCGTATTTTGACGGAAGTAATTATGCTTACTGGAAAGATAGAATGCGTGCTTTTCTTAAGTCCTTAGATGAGCATGTTTGGTTGAGTGTGCAAAATGGCTGGAAACCTCCCTCCACTATCGTATCAGGAACTGTTAACCTTACTGATATATCACTGTGGACTAAGGATGAGATAGCTGAGTGTAATTGGAATAGCAAGGGACTTCATGCCTTGTTTATGGCCGTGTCTCCCGAATAGTTTAGGAGAGTGTCAATGTGGGAAACTGCTAAAGAGGTGTGGGATATTCTTGAAGCTACACATGAGGGAACTAAAACGGTAAAGAATTCGAAATTACAAATGCTAGCTTCTAGGTTTGAAGAAGTGAGGATGAAAGATGACGAAACCTTTGATGAATTTTATGCAAAATTGAATGATATTGTTAATTCTAGTTTCCATTTAGGCGAGAAAATTCCCGAATCTAAAATTGTTAGAAAAGTACTTAGGTCCTTGCCCGAGAGATTTAGGCCTAAAGTTACTGCCATAGAGGAAAGTAAGGATCTAGATGAAGTTAAAATTGAAGTTGTAGGATCCTTGCAAACTTATGAACTCACTATCACACAACCTAAGAAAGGAAAATCCATTGCTTTAAAATCCATCAAAGAGGATGAATCTTCCGATACTGAGTCTCTAAGGGACGATGAAATTGCTTACTTTGTGAAGAAATTTCAAAACGCTCTCAAGAATAGGAGAAAGCCTCAGGATAGAAAAAGTGGAGTCCCTAGCA